GGTTTATCGATACCTGGACTGGGTTTCACCAATTCACCGACGAGTTAAAAACAAACAGCAGTGACGTGGTGATTTAAAGAAACCCAGCAAGGGACAAAAACAAAGTCGTGATTAGAGCATTTATTTCCTAAAATAAACACAAGGCAAAGCCACGAGACTGTGAGGAAGTGTTTTAGGGCTGCCTCCCCCACCCCCCACCCTCTCTCACCCCCTCCCTGCACACACCAGTCATTAATACATCCATAATGCAATCCTATGTACATGGAATGTCAATCAGAAGTTGAAAGCAGCGACTTGTTATTGCCTGGCTGGCTGAACGAGGGCGTGTTAAATCCAGTTCAGCTCACTCATTGCCACCTGCCCTTATCAGTGCTGATGCCGTTTACAAACCCACGACTACTCGCCCTCTGAGCGATTCCTCATCCCCCGTTTACCGCTGGTGCAGTCAGTGTGAAAGCATGAGTATGTACAACAAGAAAGTAAATAAATGGTGGACACACATGGAGATGAAACTATGTTTTTGTGACTGCTACGGTCTGTCTCTACTGTCTATAACCCAACTTCTTTACTCTAAACAATAACCACAATTTAGCATTTTCTTCCAATGGATCAGGCCCAATTTCCATTTTTTGGTTTCAGGGTAGAAAATCCAATGAAAGGAAGGTAGAAGGACCAAATCCATACATACCTACTGTTTAACTAATTTCACCTGCCAGGGCGGGTATCAAACTCACGCCACTTTAATGACAGTGCCGCCTGACATCAGCTGATAAGAGAGGAGCAACCAGGGCGGCGTGTGTGCAGTGTGAGAATCTGAGGTGAGAGAGGGAGAATGTAGGCAGCTATACCTGAACGTTTGTCTTGTCGGCCCAGAGGAAGGGAAGAGGATGAGGAAGAGGAGAAGGAGGGAGTGAGGAGGGAAAGGCAAAAAAAGGTACATGAGGGTATGGAGAGAGAAAGGAGGAGACACAGGAAAGTGAAGGAGAGAAAGATTACTTTTGGTCATGTGCACGTTTGCCAGCACACACTGATTTCTTTTAGCATAACTTTCAGCTCTGATTTCTAGATCGGTGATTCGGTAGAAGACCAAACCACCTTCCTTCTTCACCTGGATACAACACCTCACATTTAGTATGCTTCGATGGACAAACTGACCCCGAGGAATCTAACACAGCAAACTAAAAATAGCAGCGTGAGGGGGCAGCAGCGTGCCCGTGCTGCGATGGGGGTGCAGGTTTTTCGACCGGGCCCAGCAAAAGGGGATGAGACAGATGTTTAATTCATGGACTCTTAGATTCCCAGAGGACATCACAGCTGAGAGTGAGAGGAAGGGAGAGAGACCTTCTGTGTGCGTTACATAAAAGCAGCACTGAGGGGAATGAATGCACAACTTCAGCTCCACTCTCATTATTCGCTACTTTACTTTCTCTCTTATCGCTGTTTACAAAGATCTAGTCACGTATTTTTGTTTTTTCCTGAAGAGAACAAAAGGCAAAGATCATCTATTGTGGGAACTATGTGAGGGATAAATGCTGGAACATTGTTCAGCTTCCAACTTGAGCGCTGCTATTTATACTTGCCAGTAAAAATGAAGTGAAAACAGTTGGAGCAGTTACTAAAAAAACAAATCCACTATTATTCATCAAAAGGGACCACTTAGACGGAGAAAAGACATTGTGTAGACGCACTCATCAATTTAAAGTTTAAAAACACACACACACACACACACATATACACACACACACATATACACACACACACACACACACACACACACACACACACACACACACACA